AGTCTCCGGATGTGAACTCAGAATCTTCCCATGTGGATCAGCCTCACGGAGCATTGCATGTTACCATTGCATCATTGTTGGGCCACTATATCGTTGTTTTTAACCTAAAAATTTGAAAGGGTTTATACATGCATTGTCTAATTCTTCCTTATTTGGATTTACAGTTGAGACTTGAAAGCTTGAAATGTACATGATCTAGTTAAACTCATGACTGAACTTCTAAAATTCAACTCGGAACAAATACCCAAAATGAAACCTCTTCTGTACAAAGTGGTTAAGCAAAACAAAGTCAGGATTTCCATGGAAACAGCCTGGAGCTCCTGAAGGAGAAGAGAGGAGAAAAGTAAGCACGAATTTATGCATTTATTTATTTTCTTGGTTCTTCTTCACCTCTGCCCCTTCAAACCTCAGGCTGTCATCTTAATGAATGCTTTCAAGCTTTAGAGAGAATTAAGAACAATATTTGACAAGAGTGAGGAGAGAACTAAATATAGTTCCCTTGTGAGGAATGTATTCCATAATCTTCTCGTCTACCTCGTTCTACTATCTGGGTAATTTCTTGCTCTTTCAATGTTATTTATTTATTTATTTATTTATTTATTTTTGGTGCTGTTTTTGTCTTAAAGCAAGCTTAGCTGTTACTTGTTTGGGACAGAATAAGATAACATTATGACATGCAATTTTGTCCTTTTTTGGGAGGATCATTCAATGAGACAATTGAGATGTTACCGAATTAATATTGTCATAGTCTCTCAGTATAATCATTTCTGTTAGCCAAGTGCTTTATTTAGAATTTCCCAAATGTTCTTGTATCAACGAATTCATCTCATCTGTACAGTGTGAGAAGGAGAAAGAACTATGCGGCTGGAAAGTGGCAGGGTCTAGCTCTAACCCTCAGTTTACCTGACGTGGCTCACATTTTGCCAGCTCAGAGGGGTTTAAGATCACTCTACTGGTAGGTAATGAAACCAGGACGCACTCAGCACTTTGGGTCTTGGCCCACTACTTTCTTTTATCTGTATAAGTACGAGTAATTTGCCTGACCAAGGTACCCTTTATTCCATGGCTACTCTTTTTCATCGTATTAAGTTATATTCACCTTTTTTTTTTTTTAGACATTTATGCTTTATCATTATAGAGTAAAAATCTTGCCGTCTTTCTTATCTGCTCATATTGGTATTACCATCCAGCAGTAAACAATCCCAAGAAGCTACCTTCAGGGGTAGGTAGACTTCTGGCTTCTTGAGTATAGCTATTTTTGACAAGCTCTTCCCAGAACTGTCTGACCTATTTTTGATCAATAAATCAAATACTGCTTATTTTAAAGTTCAGCTGTGGAAAGATAGCTCACTGAGGATGAAAGTGACCTTTCATAAATCTGAAAACTGAAAGTGTGTCTTCTGGAATGAAATAACCATGGACATATTGATTGAATTGAGTTTAGAAATGATTTTACTGATCCTAGGTATAATGCCTTGGGGGTGCAGTCATCTCTCTCGGGATAAGCTGGTATTTATTTCTTCTTGGAAAATTAAAGGCAATTAAGTTTTGCGAAGGCTCTAAATAAGATGATAAAGTAGAAAGTGTGACATGGAATCTGTTCTCTCAGCCTTCTGTTGCTGATGATTATTGAAAATGAATGGAGGTCTGTAAAAGATTTACACTTGGTCCTAACGTTTGTATGTGTTCTGTTATTAATAGATTCACAATCTATTTGATCAACTATCTATTTTATAGCGGAACACATTTTAAGACAACCACTATGGTGGATGTTCATCTGATGTCCTAACACACACCTTATTAGCTGTTATTAGATCATTGAGGACAGACTTTAAAAATTCAACCATTCCAGTGGGTGGCTTTCTCCTTGGTTAATTATCACTATAGAACATTACAACTGCTACTACGTATTTACTACACATTTACGTACTATCTATTTGGCTGTGTGGCAAGTAGTTTATATATTATATTTTACTTGATTTAATATTTATTTATTTTAGTTTTTTTTTTTTTTTCCCATAGGGTGGGTACGAGTGCTAAAGAATAAAAGAATCAGTGAGAAGGAAAGTGGGAAATCACCCTCCAGGGGGAGTGGCCATGCGACAGTCCCTTCTCCTCCATTCTCCTCCTGGGATTTTTGAGCACACATGTACACACACCCGGTGTGATTTTCAAGCTGCCAGGTTCAGAATTTGAACCATGGTGGATCATATGGGAGTCCAGCACCTTAATCATCACACCACCTGCCGGCTGTCTTGACTTAATATTTAAATAACCATGTCAGACAGGTATTGTTGTCCCAAGACGATAGGTGAAAGTCCATAGGTACTTCACACACACACACACACACACACAAAATACAGTTTCCTCACTTACATTGCTAGAAAATTGATAGAGTCTAGATCCAAACCTCAGTTTACCTGACTCCAGTACCTTTACGCTGGTCCAGTTTGGATGGTTCTCTCCAACCCACTACTTTCACACAATCTTCCACTAACCAGTTTTCGTTTCCTTTTCTTTTATTTTTTTTGAGAGGTTTTTGCCATAGGGCACATGTGCTCGCCAGAAAGACAGAGACAGAGAGACAGAAAGTGAGAAATCCCCCCCCCCCAGGGGGGATGGCTATGCCACAATCCCTTCTCCTCCATTCTCCTCTCAGGATCTTGGGCACGCATACCCGGTGTGAGTTTAAGGCACTGGGTCTGGGACTTGAACGGCAATCGACTATATGGGAGTCCAGCAACATAGCCATTACGCCAACTGCTGGTCCCTAACCAGTTTTCAGTGATGTGAACAGTCCTTCAGGGTTTGTCATTGGGCAGTGACCTGTGTCATTTGCTCCGTGTAAGGCAGACACCAGGTGAAATTCACTTCAAAGGGACATCAACAGGACATCGGGAGAGATTTCCACTTACACAAATGTTCCCTGTGATCACACCTATTGATTCTAGTTAGAAGGAGAAGTCCCTGGCCTATACTAGAGAATTAGAAACAAGGCAACAGACCTTTTTTAAAAATTATATTTAATACAAGTGAATAGATTAGAAGATCTGAAATGTTATAAAGCAATATACACGATGAATAAATAATCCGCACAGGAGAGCCATGTCTACATTACATAACACTGTCTAGGAGGGGGATACTTAAATCCAGTGATAATAGAGAAAGTCCATAAAAATGCTAACCTGTCTTCCCTTGTATGAAATTGTTCAAGTATAAAAATCCAATACAGTGTAAAATAGTATTCAATTTAGTTCAAGAATAAAAATTGCAAGTATTGTAGTTTCAGAAGAAAAATGTAAAGCAGCATTTAAAAATGACATGAACTACGCAGGGATAGTTTTGAACTAATGGATTCGTGATAAATGAGGTCTACACAAGCGAAACTCAGAAGCATGAATCCAGCAATATATCTTACTTAAAAAAAAAAAAAACCTAAACACTAAAATAAACTAAAATGTGTTAATGTAAGAGTACTCTCTTATACAGTGCACATATGAATTTAAATAAATCCAAGTCAACATCTTCAGTTGAATAGGTTAATATTTAATATGCTACATCTAGACCTACTAAATAATTTATGCCATGAGATGAATACATAATTTTACAGTGTCACATCTAAAGTTCCTTTCTTTAGAGTGCAGCATAGTAAAACTTAAAAATAAATATCTTAAATAGCATTACTATTAAGGCACAGTATAAACCACGTTCTCATTTAACCTTTGAAGAATTGTCATCTCAGTAACCTTGTTGTCCCATGTACTGCAGTCACTAATAAATAGTTTTAAATATGACTCTGAAATAGATACTAAAAAGTGTAAAATTATTTCAAAAGGGGAAAAAAAAATAAACGTCCTTAAGACAGTTCTTAAGGGTTTCGCGTCTGCAAACTTTGCCTGCCTTTATTCGTAAGCCACGAGTCGACACAATAAATAGAAAGACAAGGCTGTTGTAGTAAAAGCCTGATCCTATTTCAGAATCAGAATTGCTGACATCAGCAGATACAAGTTTCCCAAAATTGAAACAGGATGGGGAGAGGGATTAGAATGTGACAAGCTCATCAAACAAGCACAAGTGATGTGTTCTTTCCAGAACTGTGTGTGAGAGATTGTCTGTACAGCTGCTGCACCCGTTAACCCCACATCACTTGTTCCACAGTCCCACTGGGCCACAGGACAGATGGAGAAAATCGCTTTGGTGCCTGTCCACCACATACCCACTGCCACGCTCCTACACTGATTGTTCGGTGCCCATTTTTGAGATAGGAAGATCACTACCTTCTTCCTGGAAAAAAGTTCCCTTCGGCCATGGTGGCTGCTCCAATGACCATCAGCCTTGCCACCGCTGCGTTAGTTACCCCCAGTCTGCTCATAAGTGTAATGCGAGCTACATATTGCTCGCTCTGTATTCCCTGGTTCAACTAGATTCAAAGAGCATTTTCTAACTTGTAAAAGGCAGTTTGCTTCCCTGATACTATAAAAAGAGCAAAAATTAAAGATCCCCCATTACAAAAGTGAAGTTCCATTGTTACTCCTGCCAACGTTTGGGAGCGGCCTTTCCTTTACCCCAGGCTCTTTGGGATTGAGTTCCAAGACTGCCCATGCCCCTCACTCTCACCTGTCATCTACAACACTACCTGAAGTATGTATGTATGTATGTATGTATGTATGTGTATATATATACATACATACACACACACAATAAAAATTCTGCTTCACAATAGCATCGCTTTTTTTCTGTTTGTTTTTAAAGCTGTTAAGTCAATGTTAACTCTCGAATTAGCTACTAAAATTGGGAAATTGGG